TCATGCATCAAAGACATGTATACACACTCAGACACATGTCACCAACACATCCATGACACACATGATCATCATATATATTACACACACACACACACACACACACACACACACCATACACTCAACTCCCTGCCCCTAAACCATACCCCCACACATATAAATATACCATGCACAAACTCACAGGCACACCCCCCACCCACATACCATCATACACACGACACCCCTACCCCTCACACCCTGCACAGACCAGACACGTAACACCGCACACACAGCACATGTGCCATTCAACTGGCATGCACACACAGCCACAGACACTGCAACACACACCCCAACACACCATACCACACCACACCCCGCCCGAACAGTTTTACCTCCTAATGGAGCCACTGTTGTTTCTTCCTCAACCTCTTCAGTTCTGGAATCTACCGGGTTGCTGCCTCCAGCCACGGGTGGAGAGGTGACTGGGGGAACCTCGGGCAGGTGGGGCTTCAGGGAGGGGCCCTGGCGGGAGGAGAGGAGAAGAGAGCCCGTGAATCTGCAACACGGATGTCCTGGGGTGGGACCCGACGGTGTCCTTCAGGTGGGTGGTAAATTAAACAAGATGGGTTGACACTGTGGCTGCAACAATGGGCTTGGACACAGAAATAAGGGTGAGGATGGCGACAAGTCCAGGCAGTGTTGTGTGTGGTTGTGCACAGGGTTGCTATGGGTCAGAGCCAACTGGATGGCTCCCCACCACCACCGCCCAGTTTACAGGCTGTTAGCACGGGGCTGGATCTCGGCTGCTCCCTGCCAAAGCAGCTTGCGTGTGCTTTTCTTCTTGCCAGCCTGGAAAGTCCCAGGGCTCCAGGGGTGAGGCTGACAAGCCCCACAGCTCCAGGAGGGTGGGGGTTGGGGGAACAAGTCTTAAGGCCCACCAGGGCCCAGGCACCCCTCCCCTCCCTACCACCAGGTCATCACCACTGACTGACTCAGACCCTACAGGCCACAGTAGGACCACCCCACAGGGTTTCCAGTGCTGCCAATGTCCCCCAAAGCAGACCGACTCGTCTTTCTACCAGGGGGCAGGTGGTGGGTATAGACGGCTGGCCTTCAGTTGGAAGCCTAGTGCTCAACAGTACACTAGCAGGGCTCCCTCCAGGTCCCTAAAAAGAACCTCAACAAGCTCACTGCCATCCAAGTCAATTCTGACTCACAGCGGCTCTATCGGGCTGGGTAGAACGGCCCCTGTGGTGTCTGGGACTGTAACTCTTTACGGGAGTAGAAAGCCTCGTCTTTCTTCCCCAGAGCGGCTGGTGGTTTCGAACTGCTGGCCGTGCGGTGAGCAGCCCAATGGTAAGCACTATGCCACCAGGGCTCCCCAGATCTTGGTTCTTCACTTCATGATACAGCAGCCATGTTTGGATCCCACTTGCCATTTCTTTTCAAAATGTAATCTGCCTCTTCTGAAGTTAACTTGAACCGTGAAAGTCAAAGGTGTATTGTGTGGGGGTCCTTACGTGGCGGAAGGGCCCACTTTGCAAACAACTTCAACGACTAGGCACCAGACATGCTGGTTTCTCCTTGGGAGTCCTTCCCGGATCTCACACTGGTTCACGCCTAGACGTATCCCTCGCTTGTCTCCTGCTCAGCCCACACAGAGGGCGGGACCCCTGGGCAGGCGTCCACCCCCTTGCTTAAGTCCAGCGTCAGCCCTCTGTCGGTCCCAGAAATAGCCTGCTGCCCAGAGTCATCCTGCCTCCTGACTGGCTCCACCCCTAGCTAGGTCATCCTTACAAACGGAACTGGGTTTGGAGTGTGGGGGGGGGGGTGGGAGCGGGAGTGGGGGGGCGGCGGACGCCTGTGCAGGTGGGGTAGCTGTGCCTGCGATTTAGTGAGGAGATGGCCCTGATGGTTCCTGCCCATCTTACTGGGGGTTCCACACAACTCTGACTCTGCTCCGAGGGGGACGAGGGGATGAAGGGCTGAGGCCTAGTTCTTGGGACAGTCTTACAGACCCTGTCGGTCCTGCTCATCGCCACTTGCGACTTGACCCCCTAAATGCCCCTTCTTTCCTCACCTCCCTCGCCTTTCCTCTCCCTTCCCTTCTGTCCTGGTGTCCTCCCAAATCCATGTCCACCTGGAACTTCCGAGTGTCGATATACTATTTCCTCATCTGGAAAGATGGTCTTCACAGATGTAACCAGGTTACCATGGGGTCACAAGGGAGTAAGACAACTAACCAGCCAACTCATGGCTGTCCAGTAGATCGGACTCATGGTGGTCCTCTATGGACAGACTAGAGCTCTCTTCCTAGGGTCTCCAAGGCTGTGATGTTCACAGGGACAGGTCACTACGTACAGGACCAAGGTGGGCCCTAATCCAATAGCTAGGTGTTCCTCATAGGGAGAGGGATCTGTGGACACAGGGCAGAGATAAGGCCACACAAAGTCATAGGCAGGGGCTGGAGGGCTGTGGTCACCAGGCGACGCTCTCTGGGAACCATCAGAAATTGGTGGGATCCACCCACTCCCGGAGTCTGTGGAGGGTGCTTGGCCCTGCTGATGGCCTGGTTTCAAACTTCCAGCTTCCAGAACGATGAGAAATGCATGCCTGTTGTTTGAAGCCACCCAGCAAGTGGTCCGTTATGACAGTGGCCCCGGGAGACTCACACCCGCCCGCCCTCCTGCACTGCCTGTGTTGTTCCAGGTGGTGGGAGCTGGAAGCTGCACTTCTCTGGCCTCCCGGGAGGCTCTCCCTGACTGCGGCTGCACAGCTTTCCCGATTGCTCAGCTCCGTGCAGCTCTGTGGTCAGCTCCCCGAGCCCCAGGGAGCTCACGGGAGGAGGGCGTGCCACGGTCACTTCCAGACCAGGAATGTTTGGACTCAGAAACCTGCATTGCCTCCCAGAGGACTCCAGAAAGAACACACCCCGGGCTGGAGGAGGCCAGCCCTGCTGAGCCCGCTCGGCAGGCCAGGCGTGTAAGAAGGCACAGGCCACCTGAATGGGTCCCGCAGACACACATGCCAGTGTGACCCGACAGTGAACACAGAGGGGACCATAGAAATCACATGTGTGTCTACACACACACACACACACACACACACACACACACACACACACACACTCCACTGTGCAGAAAGAGGCCACCGGGCCAGGGTCCCGGGAGGGGATGTTGGCATCACGGAGTTACTCACCGCCTCTTCTGTGAGACGTGCCTGGCTGTCCTCCAGCCCGCTTCCAAAGTCCCCTGAGACCTGGATGGTGGGCAAGGACCGACGATGATGGCAGCGCCCACTCAGGAGGGCCTGAGCTTCAGCCAGACCAGCCACACGGGCCACCTCCTCTCACAGCCCTTTGTCGGTGGGAGGGGCCAAGGTGGCCACATACGACCCCTGGACAGGGACACTGCCCTTCCCTGCCCAGACCCCTCAATCTGCATATTTAATCAGGTCGATCGGGCATGTCCAATCCCATGAGTTAGTGACACTTTGGAAATCAATCTGGTGGGACAGAACCCATACAGGAAGCCGCCCGTCTGGTGGCAGGTCATCCTGTTCCTGGGGCATCATGCGGGGTCAGCTGAGGAAAGAGAAGCCCCACCCGGGCAGAGAGAGGGTCACCGCTGTGTTACTTAGCCTGGAGAGCTGCGGAAGCCAGGGCAGGATGGGCCGCGCCCGGGGGACTGGGCCGCAGGCCTGTGCTCCTGCCATCAACACCAGTGGTGGATGACCACCCTCGGGGTGTAAGGGGTGTCTGGCCAGTGCTGAGAAGGCCCAGTGAGGGCCCAAAGGGGATGGGAGGGCAGGGGCGCTGGGACTGCCTTCCTGCCCCAACATTTGAGGTCAATAAAACCTGGAGGAGAGAAGGCAGTGGAGCCCTCTGCTGACCTTCTCCACCGGAACGCTCACAGCGAGGTCACCTCTCAGGAACGTTCACGGGGGCCCTGGGAGAAGACAGGGCAGGCCTGGGAGGGGTGCACAGTGGCCACTCGGATTCATTGGACCCACCTGGCAGTGCTGCCTACCAGGGGACAAGCACTAACATCAACTACATCCCTGGATTTCTCTAGGTGCAAAAGCCACAAATTATCATAGAAATCTGGGTGTAATAATAATACCCCAGCGGCCCACCACACACACACCCCTGGCCCCACCCGGGTGTTGTCGATGGTGCACACGGCCAGGAAAGTGCATATCCATTTGGGGAGAGGCCAGCTTTCTGGCCTGGGGTTAGCTCCCCACCCTTCAACTCCAGGGGCTAGCAGGGCTTATTCTGGGTGGCCCGGTAACTCATCTCTCCCTATCTCTATACAGTAGAACATGAAAGCTGGGGTCTGGTGATGTGGAAACCTGGCCAAGAAGGAGGACTCGAATATCGCCCCCCAGAAATCGGGCACAAGTGCGAAGTCTTCCTTCTGTCCAAGGCCACCTCAGAGTCTCCCTGTCTGCCCCTCACCACCCACACCCAGGGCTGTGCATTTGTCTCTTGCGACAGTGACGACTACGCATAGCAAGACCCAACTGGCGATTCTCGGGTGGGCTGCGATAGGTGCTCTCTATGTGGTTTTAAACGCAAAACTCACGACATGGAAGGATGTTCCTGATGTTACAGGAATGAACAAAAGACATGGGCCCAGGCTTCTGGTCACCCAAGCAGTATCTTTCCTTTATGTCTATGATAGTTAGGTTTCTTGTGCCAACCTGGCCAATAGGGACATGTGGGATTAATCAGGTCATATTTTGATTGGAAGGCAAAGAGTTAAATGGCTCCACAAAGCCCGCCCCCCTTTCTCTTGCTCTCTGGTGATTGGAGCATGCTGGAGCATGCTGCTGCTTTACCTAGTTCTCTGCCTCAACCTGTGAGCTACACTACCTGTGGCCAAGCCAACCCAACCCGTGAATCGTGTAGCACTAGAGCTTGAGGTTCCTTTGAGACCTGCTTTGCCACGCTGCTGGTGCAAACGTCTCTTGAGCTCGAGGCTGGTAGATCCTGCCGCCTTGCATAGTGTGAGTTCCAGATCTCATCCAGGCCTGCTTCTAGAGCTACTGATTGTTGCTGACCCACCATGCTGCCTGCTGCCTGTGGGCACACTGTTTGCCCTGCCCAAGGAGGGGTCTGCTGTCTTCTTCCTTGACCTTGGACCCGGCAGTCCACCCGAGTTGAAGGACTTCCAGCATATGAACTGTTCCACAGAAGTGAGTTGAACTGAACCCTCCGTACTGCTGTGTGGACTAATTAGCTGTTAATAGTCCTTCTCACTGTATAAACCTATATATATATGTAAACCTACATATATATATTACATATATATATACATATATATATGTAATCATAAGTGTCCTGTTTTGTGTGTGTGTGTGTGTGTGTGTGTGTGTGTGTGTGTGTGTATATATATATATGTAATCATAAATGTCCTGGTTTTGTTTCTCTAGAGAACCCTGCCTAACACAGCGTCATTCTGGGGTTTCTGAGGAAAGAAAGGATGCCCCACCAAGCTGCTGCCACCGCCACTCACCCCATCCGAGTCATCGCCGTCCTCATCCAGGCAGTGTGTGGGGTTCACCTGGGGGTCCCCTCGTATTCTCAGCTCTGCGATCAAACCCTAGACACCGAGGGAGAGAAGAGACATCACCGTCAGCTCCAGGCAGGCAGTGGGCACGGGGAGGCTGAATACTGGATTACGGGGATGAGGTCGCGGTGCCCAAAGAACCCCATTCTTGGGTTGTTCATGGCACTCACGCCTTACTGAGGAGGTGGGGTGTGGGTCACGGCCTGCTGGGGGCGCGCGCAGTGTGAGTGTGTCTCCCCTGGCGAACATATGTGATGGGCCAACTAGAGCACCTGTCCGCTACAACGCTCAGTAGGCTGGACAGTGGTGAGTGATGGGAAGGTGTGTGAGTGTGTGCGTGACTGTGTATGTGTGTGTGCGCGAGGGTGGTGGGGTGGACACGTGCTCTTCCCTGAGAAAGCACCAGGAGGCGCCCTCACCTAGGGAAAACACAGGCAGTCACCCACTGCTCCCAGGGAGCAGGCCTGCCCACCTGGTTGGCCCCACGGTGAGAACCGGACCTAGAATCCAAAGGCAACTGCAGAAAAACTCTCAAGATGGAAATTCTGGGCCCTCTGAAGATGCAGGTGAGAGATAAGTGAGGGGGCACAGGTCAACAAGGGGACAGGGGGAGTCAGCTTGTGTACAAGTCCCCAGCCTCTAGGGGACTCAGACCCGCTTGGGTGACAGCCACTGAGCACTGCAGTCTACATTCTAGAAAAACTTGCTCCCCCAAGCAGGCAGCACTGGACTCTCTGGATTCTGCAGTGATAGGAGCAGGTGTGGTCCTCCTGCAGGTGGTGGGTACTGGGGGTGCGGGCACGGGATGTCCTGCAGAACATTTGAGGGCAAGTCCCCACCCAGACTAAAGCCATCCTGCATGGCTCAGGCACCTGCAGGCAGATTAGACACTTCACAGATTTATGCAGTGGGTCCCAAACGCATCCGGAAGCTACAGAACATCTGCCCCTGGACGAGGTGGGGATGGGTTAGGAGGCTTGGCTGAAGAGGCTGTGCCAGGAAGCAGTGAGCCGTGCATACCTGCTGCCTCCTGCCAGCAGCTTCCCCGTGACTTGTTTAGTTGAAGAAGATGCCAGTGGAGCTAAAGGCACAGGATCACTGCAAGTGTTCAGCACACTTAGAGCCCCGTGCTATGAAACAAGAGGGGCTGGAAACTGAGGGATCACAGTGGGTTTCACCACTTAAAACGTCTCATCTCATTTCTTTTACATTTAACTCTGACTCATACTGACCTCATGTGTGTAGAGGGAAGTTTGCTTCAATGTTTTTTTTTTAATTAAAAATTTTATTTTTAGGGTTCCCAAGGCTGTACAGTGTAGTGGCTATGTGCTGGACTACTAACCTCAAGGTTAGCAGTTTGAAACCACCAGCTGCTCTTTGGGAGAAAGATGAGGTTTGCTACTCCTGTTAAGAGTCAGTCTTGGGAACCCACAGGGGTAGTCCTACCCTATCCCATAGGTCTGATATAGGTTGGCACTGACTCATGACAGTGAGTTTTTGGTTTAACTATTTTTTTAATAGATGACCAGGCCTTTCTCTTAAGGAACCACTAGGTAAAGTCCAATCTCCAACACTGTGGCCAGTAGCTGTTATGAGTTGAGATGTGTCTCCCCTACCCCAACTTGGGTAAGCATGATTCTCAGTAGTCCATAATTATCCTTCATTTTGTGGTAATTATCCTACACACAGTAAATCCTAAACTCTATGATGATAATGAGGTAGGATTAGAGGCAGTTATGTTAATGAGGCCGGATGCACTCTACGGGATTAGGTTTTACATTGAGCCAATCTCTTTTCAAAGGTGAGAGAATAACACTAGGTTTATGAGACACATCATCTTGATGCACTTCAATTTCCTCAATGAAAATTACAGAAACTATTTACATTTACCTCCTACCATTTATGCTGACTTTCATCCATTTAATGAGACAAATATCTATCCAAATTCATTTCCTTCTAAACCTTCTAATCCCAATGTTCTCTGTGTGGTATACCTTCTCTCTGACGCGAGTGAGTTGGATAGGAACCCCCGTGAGTCGGTTTCATTCATGAGAGCATGAGTTTAGTAAAAAGTATAAACAGAGTCAAAGAGTTCTTAGAAAGCAACCATCACCTGAAAGTCAGACAATGCAGGAGATCGTCATAGTGACCAACCGACGCCACCCTTACGATACGTCAAACCCAATATCTCAAATATTGTGTAATGTCAAAAACTATAACTTTTATATAACTATATTGTATCACAGTTTCATTTATAAGTTAATAGTGTATAATTATGTTGTTTTAAAATACTTTTTTAAAGAAAAGGTGTGGTTTTGTTCACATGATAATTTGATGTGTGTCCATAGAGATAGTTATCTAAGTAAGGTTTGTAAACCAGTATTGAACGAGCCAGCAGAGACCATAAGGACCTAGGTACCACTGAGAGAAGACCCAGGAGTTGAGTACAACCTTTGAACCCAGAGACCCTACACTGAGAACCTCCTAGACCCAGGGGAAGATTGATGTCATGACCCATGTAGATCTTCAAGGAATGCCAAGCCCACAGGCATGGACAGGGGACAAGGGCCTTCCTCTAGTGCTGACACAGAAAGTCTTGCCCTAGAGCTGGACTCCTAGCCACCTAAACTGTGAGAAAATACACCTCTGTATCTAAAGTAATCCCCTTGTGATATTTCTCTTTTAGCAGCACTAGATAACTCAGACAGTAGCTGAGCACTTAACTACTTGTTTCACTCATGGATTCTTCTCCTAGATATTATCTACATTTTAAGTGGTGTGTAAATGATACAAATCCTATCGCTCCTCATTGTTCTCTGTCTTGCTCTATTTCCCAGGAAATTCCAGGATCAACTGCCTCTTAGTCTCCCACCCTTCCTCCCTTAGCCTGGGAGTGGGGTCTCATGGTCCTGAGGGGGGAGGAACACTCGAGGTTGATTGTCCCTTAAACAGAGGAGAAAACTGGGTGATTGGATGCAGCACCTCCTAAGACCCAGCTCCCTCTCAGGAGGTGATGGCATGTGTATTTCCTCCTCCCAGTCCCCTGTCTACACAAGAGCCTGTTGTGTTTCAAACAAATAAGCCTAGCCCCTCATCACCTAACCCAACAGGAGCCTGGCGTCAGCTACACTTCTCATTGCATTTCCTTATACTGCTTACACTTAGTGTCTGACCTTCTGACTTCCAAGACCAGACTCAGCCATTACTCTTTACATTACAGCCATTTACATCTAACTTCTTTACTGCTTTTTCTAGTCTTGTCACACCCAAACACCTACATACAAATTATTTTTACTATAAACACATGTTCTTCGATTTCTTCATTCTATTAGGATAAGAAATCTAATAAATATGTCAGTGATTATGGAAGGGTTCAAGTTATTGATAAAAGGGGGTCCTGGATAGGAGCAATGTAGAGAGACTATAGAAGGGAAGGATCCAGAAGTTATCGTAGAAACATAGACTTACAGATGTCATGAACTCTCCCTCAGTACATGAACTGCCTGGCTGGTTATGGCTGGGTTGAGATTGCAGGGAAGGTTGAAGTTACTGGAGTCAAGGGAGGCCAGTAGTTTTATTCAGGGCATAAGGTTGATTCCATTGCATGAAGGATATCCTTAGCATGAAGGATAAGTCTTCTAACATCTCAGTTTCAAAGGCTCCAGAACATTGATCACTTTACTTTTATGTAGTGCAGCCAAAGTTACATGCTGAGGGAAATTCATAGCCTTAACACTTTCATCATGAAACGATGTAGACGACAAGCATTCCACTAAAAGTGCTCACAGTCTAGACGAATGCACCCACAAAAGCATGAACGACTTTGTCCTGTACCCAAACATATTCAAGTTCTTAGCATGTGCTTTTGTAGATGAGGGATCACGGAATATTTATGGATTGTTTCTTTGACTAAACAAATAACTGAACTTTAAAGAGAGTCATAAAAATCCTACAGCAAAAAATAAAGGCATACTTCATAACAATAAGATCAAACTAAGTGAATTAATGAGGAAATGGATGCACCATCAAAAAGAAATCAAGTTTAAAAAAAGAGACTATTGACATCAATGATGACATCCTTTGATCAATGCGTTCTTCTGAATCTGGCTTGTGAGTCGTGCGGCTGCACTGCTGCAATCATTTAAAACTATTAGTAATATTGTTCAGCAATTTCCACATTCTGTTGGAACATCTTTCTTTGGAATTGGCAAGTATATGAATCTGTTTCAGTCATCTGGCAAAATAGCTGTTGAGTTAGTTAATTGTGCCAGCCTGGCTGATAATCACATGTGGGGCTGGTTGAAAGGCGGAGGGATAAATGGGTGGTGAAGCCTCGCCTTTCTAGTTCTCGGGTCTCTTGTTTTGTGATGGTTGCATCGGGTGCAGCTGCCTTAGCAGTTCCCTGCTTCAGCTTGCAAGATGGATTTCCTACAAGACATCCCCAAGGAGAAGCCGCATGGATCTATCCCGATGCAGCCCTGGGTGCTGGAGCAGCCATGTGGAGACCCCTGCCAGTGCTGAGATGCTTACACGTTCACTGACTCAGCTTTCCTCCTGCAGTCGGCATTATTGCCTCTGTTTTGTGAGGTGAAGGACTTTGTGGACTGGTGTGTTGGGTATGGGTTAATGTTGGACTTGTGGGCTTGGGCAGCATTGGGTTGGGATGTTTTCGTGATGCACATTTTCTTTGCATAAAACTCTCTCTAATACGCGAGTTGCTGTGGATTTGTTTCTCCAAAGTACCTAGACTAATACAGCTGTCTTCCAAATTTCTTGACATAAACTAGTGCATGTTTCCAGCACAGCATCTGTTCATTGAAACATCTCAATTGGTATTCTGTCCATTTCTGGAGCCTGTTTTTCACCAATAACTTCAGTGCTACTTGGACTTCTTCTTTTGATACTTCCTGAGATGGGTAAACACTGACCAATTCTGTTGGTACAGTGACTATGTATAATTCTACCATCTTCTTTTAATTCTTCCTGTGTTGTTCAATATTTGGCCCATCGAATCCCTTCAATTTTGCAATTTA